TTTTTTAGCACGATATGATTGTGCTTGATCACATCTTAATCTGCGCAGAACCCCATTGTTTGAAATGTACCGTTGCATAAATTTTATTGCTAGATCTGCTGTCGTGTTAGATACTACCTTGGCGGTTGAGATTTTTGACCACTTATCTACCGCGACTAATATATATGCATCTTTGCTTAGTTCATCCAGAATTGTTCCTGAATTTATTGAGTCTCCGTCTTGTTCTTCTGGAATGAAGACTCCCTCGCAATCCTTCATGTTTTGTCTCCCTAGTTTTTTGGAGATGTATTTGTATCGCGATAAATTTGTGTTGTTTGTTTTTATTTTAAACTGATTTGCAGACTGCGTTATGAGCGAATGATTCAAATCATAGTTTTGATCAAGTTTGGGTGTTTGACCTCTCATGAAAACAATGAAATGTTTGGAATTCAATTGGCTTTTAGATTGCCCTTCTTTTGTTCTTTCATTTTTCGCGCATTTTTTGCTCAGCCCGTAGGGCGCTAGCTTCCTATTGGCTAATTCGTTCAGAATTAAGTTGTCAATCATTTCAAGACAATTAACAAATGAGTTGATTGACGCCACCACAACAAATTCCTCATTGTACTCACTAGGGGCTATTGATATTCCACCCGACTTTCTAGATATATAGGCAATTAAGACCATTTTACTTCCAGCTAAGTGTTTGATGTTCAATTTGAAGGGGATTAGCCAATAAATTCATCTTGTGAGTCCTCTTGGACTTGTCTCAGATCGCTCGCTGGCGTTCAATACACTGATCCAAACTTGGTGATCGTTAATGACCGTAAAACTTTTCTCGTATAAGTAGTATTTGAAGTGTTCTATAGCCCAAACGACCGCCAAGAGCTCTAACTCATATACTGAGTTTTTTTCTTCAAGCGAATTTTGAAATCTTGACGGGTAAGCGATAGCTACCCACCCTTTTTCTGTATTTTTTTTCCAATACTGCACCTAAGCCATATGTAGAGGCTTCACATACCACACGTGTTTTAAGGTTATGATCAAAATGTACATTTTGAGTAATTTCAGCGACTAACTTTTTGATTTTTTGGAATGCGGATTCATGCTCAGCCGACCAGTTTAGTGATTTGTGTTTGTCTGTATTTCTAAGTAATGGACGTAACACTGTAGCAGCATGTGCGAGATGTGGGATGAACCTTGTAGGGTGATGTATTGAACCCATGAAATTTTTTAGCTGTTTGTATGTTTTAGGTGGTGAGAGCATTTCAATGGCGTCTGAATTCCTTGTTAGCGCGTAGTGCCCCCGCAGTCTATTGGGACCCCAAGCCATTCATATTCTTTCCATGCGTACTTATTTTTATCTTACGATATTGCAAGATTTTCCTCGTCTGGTCTTCGAAGTACTATTTCTAGTGTAATTTTATGTGCTTCTATTGGACCCTCTGTAATGATTAGTATATCATCTAGATAAGCGTATGTGTTTTTGCAGTTTGTTAATGTCAGATCGTTTGCTTTTTGCACTTCGGCAAGTATATCCGTAAGGCCGTAGAATCCTGATTGAAATTGTTATGTCCCCGTGGTGTTGCCTCCGATGAGGCTTAAGTTGCATTGTTCTCTCGTCTTTTTGTCCAGTCAATTTTGGGAATAGGCATAGCATAAATCAAATGAAATGAATAAAGTTTGTTTTTTTGTCTGATTTGATTGTTTGTGCGATGTTGTCCAATAATAAGTCGATTTGGCATTTGGTTTCTGATTTTTTAAATAATTTTATCAGTTTTCTTCGAATGTAACTTCAGTTTTACTATTTGATTTTTTTAACTGTTTTTACGATCGGGCTCATGGATTTGTCGAGTTTTGTATTATGTTTTTGATCTATCAATTTGTTTAGTTCGTTTTTGACCCTTTCTTGCAGGTGAATCGGGAAGCGTCGACCCTTCTCTTGGATCGGAGTGATATCCGGGAGAAATTGTGTCTTCATTATGTGGTTTTTTTTTGCATTTCTAGTTCTAACAAATAATTGGGCAAAGTTTTCCTCGACCCAGTGTTTTACTTCTGGATTCGATTTATCCTCTTCGTTATTGTTCAAGATTTGAGTGTTTTGTGGTTCTTCTTGAATTAGTTTTATTCCAATTTTTGATAGCAGGTTGCGGCCCAGAATGTTAGTTTTTTTGGTCGTCCACCACAACAAATGGGGCTGATTGAATTGTCCACCCCCGAACAAGTCTTTTGCCAGAATAAGTCGTCCCTTAGGAACGATGACTTTTCCATTGTAACAAGCTCGATGTCGCGCAGTATCTTCTGGCGGAATGTTTTTGAAAACGAGTGATTTTTAGTTTTGCTATGATCGCCGCGTTGTCGCTTCATTTAGAAATGACATTGGACTACCAGAGTCGGCAATGGAAAGTATAATGCTTGTTTTTCTCTCTAGTTTTACAATATGACCATTTCTATCTTCGTCACTGATTTTATTGGCTTGCTTGATTTCGAATGCATTTTCAATTGCCAACATGGAGAAATTATCTCTTATTAGTTCCTGCCTCTCGTTTTGTGTGGTGATTGCGGCGAATGCGACTGGATCGTTGTCGTCTGTTTCGTGGGTATGGCTCTCGTTATCATTTCTTGATTCTTCCTATTATTTCGGAGGACACTTACTTTATCTGACCGAGAGTCTTTCGCAAAGTGACTTCGTTTTGCGCATTTTATGCAAATCTTGTCTCAGGCTGGGCATGATTGTAGATGATTAGGTCCGAAGAGTTTGCCACGCTTGTAACACAGTCTTTGGTTAGTGTTGTTTTATGGATTTCGATTTTGGTTTCCTCTTGTGTTTTGCCGACCACGTGGATATTTTCCTCTACTGTTATTTGAGAAAATTGTCAAATATCCACCCCGACTGCCTTTAGGTTGAATTTAACCCATTCTTTCTTGTTTTATTGTCGTACGCGAATTTAATCCGAATGGGTTTGACTTCATAGTTTTACTGTGTTTGATGCCTTTTTCGCGTCTAATTGCGTATTCGTAGGCCTCTTGTGGTGTTCTTGTTTCTGCTACTATTTCTTTGGCAATTTTTTTGTTGTTCATGTGTGTGGTGAACATATCACGAGCCCATTCGTCTTCGCTATTTCCACAATCCGCGCGGGAGGCTAGTTCTACCAGATCCGCGTGGAATTGCTAGAGTGTCTTGTTTTTTCTTTGTTTGCGGTAAATAAAATTATATGTGTCGAACGCTATAACCCGTTGTGTAATAAATATGTCATCCAATACTTGTTTCAATTCTCTTGTTGATGTGGCTTGGATGTTTGGCCCAGTCTTTTTCTGTTGGAGTTGTCTTTGACCTTCTGTTCCTAAGCAGAGGAAAAAATAAGTTCTTATTCTAGCGTCCGGTTCGTCCCAGACTACTGAATTACACATTACATTTTTTTCTGTTGCTCTTTTTTTTCTCCATGTATTTCTACTTCTAAAACGGGTTCTGTTGGTAATGTGACTCCTGCTTTTTCACTTAGCAAGTTTTGGATCTCTATTGCGTCCTTTGCGAATACAGCTAGTTCCACAGACCATTTGGTTCATTTCAGTGGAGGCTCTGCTGATGCTTTTTCCCAGAACGGGTTGATTTTGAGTGGATTTTTTGTGAATCCTGCTGACTGCGCCATGTCATACCCGTAGGTCTGCTTAATGTTGTTAATGAATCCGAACGGATTAGTAAACAATAATAATAGTATCTGAGCTCGCAAATATAGACAACTGTTTGATAAAACACTTTATTCAGGTTCTAATCTCTTTCTTTCATTGGCTTCACACTGCCACCGTCCTCAAGGTCAATTGACCGCTTTTAATACAGTAAGCCTATCTCAACGCAGTGAGCTTACTGTTAACAATAAAATGTACATATAATACTTTGCCAATCCGGCCGGATGACAGGGAGGCCCATTTTCTTTGCGCTTCTCATTCGTAGATGATTATCTGTTTCTGGATCTGAATCTTAGTGTGGCTTCAACGCGGTGAGTTGTCTTACTTTTTTCCCTCCACAATTTATTTTACCACAAATCGCCAGCTCCTTGCCGTTTACTGATTTCTAGGACTGAAAAAACTCGATAAAATGCAAAAATAATAAATTAATAACAAGGGCAAATGATGATTGTTGAAACAACACTGAATATGATTTGTACCAAAAAAAATGAAAAAACTTTTAGCATAGATAGATGCTTCACATTTTGAGTCAGCTTTGATTTGAATTTAAATTAAAGCAAAAGCACACGAAGAGGTTTGTATCGTGAACCGATAACACAGACATCTGACTTAAATAGTGTCAACAAAGTGCAAGCTATTTCACGATTTATGGATCGCCCTGAAGCCAGTTTAGGTACTTGACAAAAATGCGGCGTTTAGATCAATATGATTATGTATTGCATGAAATCGATTAAAAATCAAAAAAAATTTCAAATTTTTTTTACAGTTTCAAATGTTTTCATGTTTTTTTCTTCCAAGTGTTTTGTCGATTTTTAGATAAGTCATTTTCAGTTGAAAAAATATTATTTCCCTGAAAATCCCTCACAAAATCACTTTCAGCTTATCCAATTATGCATCAAAAATATATCCATGATTCGATGTAAACAATAAATTTCAAACTATTTTTCTAGGTTGATGATTACTACAAAAATTTGAGGAAAGTTCGAAGTTTAATTCAAAGCACCTTTTTTTCTGCAAGTTGGGCTTAAAAGAGTTATCTTGAAATGAAACTCAACGACATATCAAGATAGCTATATCTCATTTTCTGAATCCAACTAATGAACTATATTTCTTGAACTTCTTTTCACATTTCAGAATAAGGAACTCAAAGACATATATTGAAACTTACTGCCTTCTGAAGGAGTTAAGTGATTTGTTTTGCAAATAGGTGCAAATTATACAAAACTTCAACTTTGAGGTTGCGAGTTTTTTTTTAAATGATCATTATTTGAAAAATAGAGTAATGCAAATAAAGAAACGGTTAGCTAAACCCACAGAAGCTTTCGTTTTTTGTTCAGGATTGGAAATGGACGCCAAGGCTAATGGAGGGGAAGAATGCTTGCTCGATCCACGGAAAACCCCTAAAGTTTTTTTGCAACAACATCGGCTGCTTTAGTGGAATCTGTGAAGACTGTTGGATAATTGACCATGTTCATCATCACGTTGTTCCGTCAAAAATTGTTCTGGGCAAAGATGTTGAAGAACTGGAAAACAATTGGAAAAAGATCGAGGATTATCAAACTACGTGCAGAAAGTTGGTCACCGATTCTGTCAATCTAAGCGAAGATACCCTGTCTATAATGCAGAAAATAGACCAATTAATCTTATCTAAAGGGGATCTTCGAAAATTCCAAAGCGTTGAAGACAACCACTTGTTCAAACAAAAAACTTTGAAAGAGTTGGAAAAGCATGAAGAGCTTGTTGAACGGATTAAACAGAAAACAACCTCTTTAATTGCATCATACAACCAAGTAGAAAACAGTCTCAATGCTGCAAAGGATTGTTTCCGTGAAGGTCCAGCATCCAGTAGTTTTCCCGCAGTTGGAGAAATATATCTGAGAAGAAGTAACTGTAAGCTGAAGGATATCAAAAGAAGAATAGCCAACGGCAAGATTAAAAGATTTGGCCATTATGCATTCTGTCCCAGGAGTCAAAACTTGTTTTTTGCTGACAAGCCTTCATTTTCTTTCACACCTAACAAAATGTTCAGAGTCAGCATTGATTCAATTCAAAAGGAAACAGAGTTTGACATTCCAGGTAATATAATGTTTGATACGGAAAATTTTGACTTCTCGTAAAAATAACAATATGAACATATGATAAGTTATATTGGTTCTTCTGCTTGATTGAAGATGTCATTATTGAAAAAAAATAATCATAGCCTTCACGTTCTTTGAGCTTCATAATGTTTCTGGTTATATGTGGAAGCATTATGATGTGTTTAACTTAATCATGTTTCGTTCTTTTTTATATGTTTTTTTATTGTTGCTTCAGGAGCAGTTTGTGGACTGGCATTGAGTGGAGGTGGCGCTCTGTATGTCCATTATCATAATGATAGTGTGCACAGAATGAGTGTGTTGATAAAGAAAATGGAAGAGTAGTGAGGACTCTGGATACTTCGAAACTAGACACGGATTCTTTTCTGATCATTCACGCTCATGAAAATGTGTTACTGCTGGTAGGAGGGTATTTTGATTCAAACACTTACGAATTTGTGCATGTGTACGAAAATGAAGTGTATAAAAGAACACTTCAGCTTCTCATCAAGATAAATGTCGCTTGCATCTCATCAGCTTTATGCGGACGAGACATTTTATTACTGCTAACAGATGAAAGCACACTGGCAATAGTTGATCTCAACCAGTCTGGATCTAAGGCCCAGTTCAAATCAATCCGGTTGGGTCAAGTAAGGTGTTTTGAACTATTGTGGATAGGGAGAGGAGATGAGCATAGTGGAGAAGGATATCTATTTGCATCTCAACAATTAGCACGTCCATTCAATTCTCATGTGTATGAGTTGAATGTGAAGAGTGTTGTGGATGGTGCTCTACTGACACCACTGCAGATCCCATTCATGAATAGTTACGGCTCTAGAAACATTTTCTTCAAATGCACAATGGGAACAGATGCTATATTATGCAAAGATTTATGCGGCAAAAAGGTGAACGAGGACGAACATTATTGTCCAGCGAGCATTTTGAAACTGGAGAAGATCCTCTGATTGATAAAATTCGGAGCATTTTCATCTTTCGTCAACTGCAATCAATCATACTTGGGCTTCTATGCTTTCCATTGTATAATAAAAAATCTAGTGTATTTACGCTAATCAAAAACCTTATTTTCTATTAACGCCCTAGAATACCTTAAAATTATCATCATTTTTTTAAACAATGAATTGGAATTTTAAGTGAAGTTTAAGACGCGTCTGGATAAAACTGATTGTTTGAATCATTATTGTTTGAATCATGATTGTTTGAATCATTATTTAAACTAGTTTGTCTTGTAATTACTTTAACAGATCGAATTATGCGTCAACTTGGCATCATCGTGTGAACATGTTTAAAATGAGCAATTGGTAAGTCTAACTGCTGGTGATTTGGAGCAATTCCAAACATTAAGCCAATTTAATGGTCCAACTTTTCAAACAAACACGATAAAATTTACTTTTCGCATTGTTTCAACCTCATATTTGAAGTTTTATTTTCTAGGTGGTTGCACGAATGTCGACTTATATAATTAAATAAAAACCATCATTGGTAAAATTGATTTTCTATCAAGATTCAACATCTTGCGTGTAATCTTACTATTTATGCTAACTACTTCCTGGTAAGTTGTACAACAAGCAAACCAATTTGGGTAGAAAAATTTGCCATCTACGAATGGACGATAGTCTACAATTTGTTATTTCGATTTAGCTCATAATCAAGCAAACATCCCGTTATTTACCTAGTTGAAGCTGAACTCAAACTATCGTGTTAGATTGGATTGCAAATACTTACACTTTCTCATCGTTTCAAACCTCCAAAAATTATTTGATACCATATTTGAGCCTCAATTAATCTAACAGTTCAGTAATTAAGTTTTATCGGCAACTAGTTATTTTAACCCATTCTAGTGACTCATAACAATAGCTATGGTGAACTATTCTGAGGAGCTCGGAGCGCAGAAGTATCAACAGCTGGTGGATGTTTTCCAATCGGTAAGCAGCACGCATCCCTTATATTCAGGGGCGGATATGAAGCTTTTTGAAGACGGGGGGTCGAAAATTTTCTTTATGGTTGATCAAGTAGCAGGAACTTTTGGAAAAAATAACCGGAAAAAATTGCTTTTTTTTCGGGGTCGGGGTGCCTTCCATTCATAATTTCTATTTTTTTGCGCCAAAGACCGAGGAAAGATGTAGTAAATTATGTAGTTCACCATAATCGCTCAAGAAATGCAAATCAGTTCCTAAATCCACCCTTGCATGTATCGGGAGAATTTAGTAAGAGAAAATAACTAAAAAAATCTGCCAAAAAATTTAACTTTTTTCTGCTATACGGCACAAGTTGTTTTTATTTGATAATTTCAAAAAAAAAAATCAAAGTGCTTGAGTCGGATTTGAAGACCTTGTTTTTTCCGAAATTACATCTAGAACTGATCTTCGCCTATAGTAGCTTATCAACCGTTTTGTTAATTTTGAGTTGCATGACAGAAAGATCGAACAATTTGAAGGTCATCCCGCACTCAGCAAAAAGAGAAAACAATAGATTATATTACAATTGTTATTTAACTTTTATCAAAATTATAATTAATTACAAGCGCCAAATTTAGATGTTTAAATGATTGATAACCCATTGTAATGATAACATTTTTCGTACATTATAATAAATTATAATCAACTACAATTGGTTATAGTTTTTCCTAAAACCTTTTGTATTCCCTTATAATCCCTTATATTCTATTGTAATCTATTGCAATAGATTATAATCTTTTTTTTCTGTCAAAAATCTCTAAAAGTGAGATGTTTTGTCTTTTTTTGGTTCACCAGAACACAAAGTTTGACCACGAAACAAAAGTTTCATAGATATTCCTTTATTTTAGTTGAAAGAGTATCGTGGTTGGTGAAATATAACTTTTCTATAGAATTCATGGAACTAAAGCTGTGCGCTGATATTTTAGTGCTGAAAAAAAACTTAAAATGTGCATCATGATATAACTATATTCAAGAAGAAATGAAAAAATAAAAACCTTAAATATTTTAATTGATTTGAAAACTATTAAAACAATTTTGCCATTTTTCACATACACCAATGTTTACGAAAAGCATAAATTATAAGCAGTTCAGGTAAAAAGTCGAAGACGAAATGGGCAAAAAAGGATTATAATGAATTATGATCGAATATAATGGGTTTTTTTCCGCAAAACAATAGAATTAGAAATTCGGATAAAAAAATTGATTATAATCGATTATATTGTTTTATAATTGATTATATTTGATTTCAAAAAGAGAGATTATAAACGATTATTAGTTAATTAAAATAGTTTTTTCTGCTATTTTTGTAAAACTGATAGTAAAATCATATTATATTCGATTATTAATGCTTGAAACTGGATGCGGGATGTTAAAAAACCAGATAATTGAACTGAGGTTTAGATAATTAAGCTCATCAAAACCAAATCGAAAGAGTTGAACCGATACCAAAAATCATCGGTTTTTTTATTGTTTTTGCATGCAATAGGTTAAAAAACTTCTTAATATGTTGAATCAAATTTGAACAAATTTGTTGAACACAATGACCTTGTTCGAGTCAAAATTCTTGTCGAAAACAATCCTTTTGTTAAACACAAACCCCAAACATTGTTGAACCAACTTAGTCAACACCATATGTCAAATCCGATTTAAATTGGTCGTAAAACGAAAACAAGTCATAGATCCACTCCAGAAAATACAAAATTTTGAGAAGCCACACTTGGCAAAGAAATCTGTTCTCTCTTCGAAAAGTTTTTAATGAAAAACTGAAACTTAATTTCTGATCTCTGGGAAATCCAAACTAAAAACTCTGAGTAAACCAAACGGAGATAATTTTTATACTAGCAGAATCATGCTATTGTTCCGACTTTTGTAACGAAAGTAACGGATTATTTCCGCTCGGGGTAGGTTTTTATCTTCAGAGAAATTTCGACGTTTTAACTAGCCATTTTAGACGGATTTTTTAAAACATCATTCAAAAAGTATTGCTGTGCTGAGCTTAAGTTAAAAAAAATTATCTGTGATTATTTTAAGTTATGGGGGTTGAAGGTTTGAGTTTTGGCTAATTTGGGATATTTAAAGCGCGATATATTTCGCTCTATTAATGTGTAAGCGGAGAATTAATCCGTCTTATAAATCCGTTCCAAATTGGTTGAACGAAGCTTAATTGTCATAATTAATTTGTTAATAGGAGCGAAATCTATCAGCTTGTACTTTATATGGCGTGTGGGAGATGAATTTTACAAAAAAAATTTTTTTTTAAATTTTAATTTTCATATATTGAATTTAGTTTATTCATGTTATTACTGTTCCAAAGACCTTAAGAGGCAGTCGGAACATTCCGGGCTTCACTTTGATGCGAGCAATCTTGTTCATGTAATTTCCAAAATCAAAAACAACCATTAGCAAGTCTTTCGCAATCAAAAACAATCGTTGAACCGTTCGAAGCACATCTTGCCTGAGTCGAACACAATTTGCTTCACTCGGTACAAATATTTGAGTCAAGCACGTTTCAAAATGTTTCAATTCTGTAGATTGTAGTATTGAAAAATACTACACAGACAAAAGACCATTGTCTTAATTGTTTATTTAACGACACAATTCTAAATTGGAGCGTACCATTTAAATTAAAGCCTCTTTTCACTAAATCAGATATTGACTGATTTACTTTTATTAGGACTATAAAATCTTGTTTTGAAAATCCACTCCTTTTTAAATACTTGTCCGATTTTTTTCATTTTTTTTATGCTCACTAATTAAAAGGGCGGCAATTTCTAACACGTCCCTTTTAACTTTAACTTGAAACAAAATGGATAAATATTTAGCAGTCTTGCCGACTGCACTGAAATTCTCCTTGCATTGATTAAGCAGAGATGCACCAGCAATATGATGCATCAGAGAAAATAATATGGATTTTTAATCAGACAAAACTGAAGGCTGCGGTTTTTCGCAAAGAGGACTAATAACTAAAGATATTTGATTTGAAAAAATCAAAAAAAAACTAGTTGAAAATTCCCTTATAAGAAAGGGAGAACCAAGGGGCAGGTGAAACCTGAATAATTAAAGATTGAATCAGCCGCCGGTTTATGCTTACGAGCAAAAAGACTGGCCTGAAATCTTCAGTGTTTCATTTTGCTCGATAAGCAGCAAGTCAGATCTCTTCAGTCAGATCTTTTCAAAATCAATAATTTTTCTTTCTGCCTTAACAATAGAAATAAACTAGCCTTTTTCACAAACAAAATAGAGAATAAATTCTCATTTAAACTTCGATAAAATTATAAATCGAGATACTCGAGATACCAACACCTGAGGAAGTCTGGACTACAAGTACCCAAAGGACTACGGCAAGGATGATACTGACAACCAAACCAGAAGTGCCGAAGTGGACACAATCAAGGGCGACCCAAGAATACTAATCAGCCATCGAGCTTAGTAAGAAGATAAAATATTGATGAACAAAATAAGATTAACTCAACCTCCCCTCATAGGTATATTTCTTTAAGCTGTTCGATTCGTTTATATAATCTAATAACCCAGTGCTTTGTATTTTACCAACTAATTAATTCATACCTTTTATAATTATTGTTTCTACTCTAACTTTTGTCAAGACAACTTGACGATCTAAGGTGAGACTTATAACTTAGGATAAAATTACTAAGCAGTCAACCAGCAATGATCGCTTAGTAAAACTGTTGCGACCGCGGCAGAGAACTACTCCTTAAGAAATTTCTTTTCGAACAAACTCGAAACAGCTTTCAAAATTCAATAAATATATTAATATTAGGATCTGTGAGTATTTGTCAGGTTAGTTTCCAAACTCAAAAAGCCACGAGACAAGGGATGTCTTTCGATAGAAACACAATTTTTTTGTCTTCTACTTGACAGACATTCCTAGTTGGGTTCTTGCGATAAGTATCCCCTGCGCTAACAGTCGCCCACGATATTCCTCCACCTCGAGGTCTATTATACGGCTTTCTAACTGACATTAGCTCATGAATTTAACTATTATCTATTATTATAATAATATAGAAAATTTCTGAAAGAATCATTCTCTGCCAAAGTCCGCTAGTAAGCTATACCCTTTTTGTCCATTTTTGTAACCCACGAATCACATGCCGAAACTTCAGTTTAAAATTATCATCACTCAAATTAACTAAATCCTGTATTCAGCTAAAGTGCTCAAAAACTTATTAAAAATCTTCATTTATTTTTTCGAGGGGGTTAAGTGGTCATATGTGCGATCTAAGAGTACCCTAAATTGTATGATTAATTGAATTCGTCATCACATTATCTCAAACCATCCACGCTTGTTGCTATTTATTCTAATCCTTCATCGTTTCTCGAGGCTTATCCTCAACTTTTCTTCAACTAATTTTTATTCTATCCACCTTAACGTAACTTAAACCTAAATCATCCATCAGTAAAGCTACCAATTACTGAAACTAAGGAAGAAAATGACAAAAACCAAGAAGGAAAGAACGGATTTGGATGTTTTTCATGAATCATTGGTTTTTTTGCACAGTTTGAATATACACCTAAAAAAACAATAAGAATACGCACCAAAACCTTTCTCAAACGTTAACAACATAATACCAAACACCAAGTTTTAGTTTCAGCACGAAAATATTAGGTTTCACAACAGAAACTAAGTCTAAAACACTGACACATTCACTTTATAATGATAAATTAGGTTTCATATGATAACCTAAGCACTAGAAAATTGGTTTTTACCAGCCAAAATTTTTCGTTTCAGTCTAGGTTTCAGTTATAGGGTCAAACGTTTCAGTTAAAATAAGTATAGTTTCCGGTCAAAATTTCAGAATTCTGTAAACGGATTCGGATAAAACAGCAAAAGTTGAACGAATCAAACCCAAAATGGATACCATAAGTCAAAAAACCTGGTCTTAAATGATAAGTTTTTGTTAATTTCAGGTCTCAGAACCCAAAAACTGAGTTTTTGGTCTCAAAAT